ACACACACACACACACGCACACACACACAAAAGCCAACAAAAAACAACTTCTTTCTTCCCTTTCCTCTCCTCACTGTCCGTACGCAGCCCTACCCCAATACGATGCGGGGCTCTGCGCAGAGTACCCTCAAACACAGCCTGGGAGCTCCGCTCAGGCCACGGGTCGGGGCCGGGGGAAACCGGCTCCGGGTGGGGGAAGGCAGCTGAGCTGCTGGGAGCTGAGGCCGTTCCCAGCGCTTCTGAGCGGCCGCAGCCCTCGGGCACTCCCAGGCAGGCACCGTCCTGCTGCTCCCACCTCCCGAAAGCACCGGGACGGCTTCCCAGAGGATAAATGTCACCGCGAGCTGCAGCGGCAGAAGCCGGGGGCGCGGGCGGCCAGGTAATAGCAAGACTGAAACAACTGGGAGGAAAGGGGGGTTGCAGCCACTGAGAGACAGAAATGTGGGGGGGAAAGGCATGAGAACGCACCTGGCAGGAAGATTTCAGAAACCCAACGGAGGGGCTGCGTTAACAGACGAGCCTGTTTGAGATCGCACGTTACGAATCAGCACCCTCCCCCCTCCCCCGCCACGGCAACGAGTATCCTGGTGCTCCATCTTACTTTGCAACGGGAGCATCCAGCAAAGTTGTCTCTCACCCTTTTCTTTGTTATTTGCAATTCCCTCCCTGAAACCACCGAAAAATGGAGATAGGGGAAGGATAAAGCTTTTCTCCCAGCTCTTGGGAAGGAGTTCGCCTTTTATTTAAGCGGCATAATAAAAGATAGAGCTTAAAGCCTCCAAGGAGATGGATGTTACTCCACGCGTTATGGGCAGATTACAAACAAATATCGGGCGATCTCCGAATAAAGGCGGTAATGCAGTCCCTGTGGGTAAAGGTCCCGTTTTACCATGCAGTTCCTTACCTGTGTGCCAATTTATCATAATCTGGGCTCCTCACTTTTCAGGATCTGCTCTCTCGCAGTTCTTAGAATACATCCTTCCCCCTTTGTCTGCAGACAGCACTGTCCTAAACCTGATCCTGCGGTTTTACAGACATTTCCACACCAGAATTCCCGATAGAATGAGAACAAGCACGGGCTCAGCTACCAATAAAAGAGAGCGAGTGGAAATCGGAATTTGGTGGGGTTAAAAAAAAAAAAATCAACACACGGCCCTTCAGCCATCAGCCTCCCGGAATCAAAGGCAGCAATTGGCCGCCTCTCGTTTTGTTTTGTTTTTAAATCGTGAGGCCATTGATGAATTTTGGGGACGAGCAGGAGAAAACCCTTTATAACCAGAAATATGGGCACTGCCTTCCAATACAGCCGTGTTTGCCCACGTGATGCCTGGAGCAGCTCTCCGGGCCGAGGCACAGCAGCTCCCAGCCGGGCCCCCCCCCCGCGCCCCGCTCCCGGCCCGGGGCTCCGCGCCTCTCCGCACCGCTCCGCACTTACGCGCCCGCCCGAGCGCCGGGAAAAAGGCGAATTCCGCGGGATGTTCCTAGGGCGCAGAAATTGTCGGCGGAGGGAGAGGAGAGGTTTGGGACCGGCCGAGACCCGCGCTGCTCCGGCGGCCGTGCGCCGGGCGGAATGGAGAGCGCGGATTTTTGTTTTCTCCTTATCCGTCCTGGGAGCAGGCGGGCGGCAGGGACTGGCCCTGGCTGGAGGCTACAGAAGCGTTGGGGAAAAAAACAAAAAGCAAGAACTCATGACATTGTGCCTTAAGCCTGCCTCCCTGCTCCCTGCACAAGCTGAGAGCAGAGCGAACCCGATATGTATCCGTCATGTGTGCCCATAGACCTCGCCAGCAATTTCAGCTCAGCGAAAAAAAAAAAAAAAACACATTTATTGGGTTCTCTCTTTGATTTTCTAACGTATCTGTAGCTATAAATACACCAGCCCTAATCTAACATCTGCTATGATTTCATTACCATCCAAAGCACGGGGATGTGACAGTAACGTATTGCCCTACGATACCGACCGTAAGTGCACTGTAACATTTATCTAAATTACATTGCTTTTCCTGACTTTGCAAACCAGTTATAAAAAGATTGGAGTCCGGTGATGGAAGCGTAAGTTCTGTGTAAATTATTGTGTACGGCTTCGGATTTATAATCCTATATTTCTTCGAAACGACGCACTTAAATCTCGCCCTGAGTAAGAGGTAATGGTTCTTTATATCCTTTCCGTCTGCCATCTATTTCGGCGTCTGTGCGCGTCGCGGAGACCGGCTAGTGTGCCCCCGCAGCCCCGCACCCCGCGCTGTGTATGCGGGGCCGAAAGACTGCGGGGTTCGGTGCGGGGCTGCGGGGGCCCTAGGTCCGGCGCCCCCGAGGAAGTCCTGCAGCATTGGGGCGGCCGCTCGGAGGCTCCGAAAGGGGCCGTTGAAACTACACACGGAGGCCGGCGGGGAGGTGGATGCACCTCGGCACCGCCACCAGAACGAAGGCATCGCAGGGGGACCGCAAAGCTCCTAAGGAAATGTAAATCCTTCGCGCCGGTAGGACTCCGGCTTTGCGCGAATTTGTCTCCAGTAAAGGATCTAAGAGTTCTTCAATCGGAGCATATGTTCATAGAGCAATAAAACAGAAAGATTTACAGTCTCCGCCCGCCCCCCAGCAGCCTCGCACCCTTTCAGGAATTACTTATGATGATTTATAACAACAACTCCGGCAATTGTCAAACTGATAAAATAGCCCGGGCTATATGCGGGAATAAACGCTCTTACGAAGGGGCCGCGATTTATGTTCGGGTCCATTTTACTGCGCCTCTTGGAGGAGTTGGGTTTCCTTCCCGGGCCAACGGGATAATATAAAACTTCATTGATAAAAACGTGGGACTCGCGGTGAAGTAGCGAATCTGTTCCTTAGTCACTACCAAAGCACATAAACATTTGTCATCTTTGAATAATTGAATTAATGTGTTATTGTTTGAATGTATAATTCATAACATAGGAAACTTTGTCTCTGTCCTGCCACCGAAACGGAAGTAATAAAAATCTGCAATCTCGGATTTTTTTAGAAATTACTCCAGCAAGGACAATAAAGAATATCCTGTTTGCAGAAAGCGTTTCCAGCTGACTCCGGGATTTAAGAGAGAAGCCTCAGCCTCGCGGTCCGTATTTCACGGAGTTCGCGGAGGGTGCCTTCCTATCAGCACAACATCCCCCCCCTCCTCCAATTTTCCCCTATCGATCGGGGACGAGAGGCGCTGCGGGGCAGGGTGCGCGGTTCCCTCCCCGCGGGGCCGGCACGGAGCGCGGCCGGGCAGCAGCGGCGCTGCGGGCGGAGCGGGGCGGCCCTGCGCGCCCGCGGTAGCCCCGCCGTCACACGAGGCGCGGCACGATTTACGACCCCTCTTGAAAAGAAATTGAGGGCCTCTCGGCGGCGCCGGCAGCGGGAAGCAGATGCCCTGACAGCCGCGTTGTTCCGCCCCGCGCCTCTCCGCACCTCTCCGCGCCCACCGGCAGCCTCTCCTCCGCCGCTCCGCGCCCCGCGTCCCCGCTCCCTGGGAACCAAAGGTCACCCGCTCCGGCTGCCGGCCGCGGCCGGGCTGCGAGCAGGAAGCGGCGTGCCCTATTTGTCACGGGTTTGACAGCTAAGTTCATTAAGGCTGAAATAAGAAGGAATAAAAGCAAAAAACCTTTACGTACCGGGCGGCTGTTTTTTTTTCGGCAGCTTGCACGGAGCTAGGTGTGCGGAGAGAGGGGCTGCGCCCTTTGTATATTATATTCTTGGGATCTCTTCAGTTTTCAAGTCTGATAGAGTCCTTTGCTTGGCAGATTAATGACGACTCCGTGTTTCTTAAGGGACGTGCTGAATTAATTATTTCGAGAATCACGTGGTCAGGACTTGTAGAAATCTATTCTTATCATCTTCCTCGCACTTTGAAATTCTGCCTGTTATGACTGTTCCTAGCACGATTATTTTGGTCTCTGGGCTTGCAAAAGAAAAAAAAGAGGAAAAAAAAAAAAAAAAAAAAAAAAGAAGAAGAAGGGGGGAGGGGGGGAAGGAAGAAATCAGGGGAAAGGGCCGACCAACATGGCCGTTGGCAGCGGAGCGGCTCCGCGTGGAGAGGTCCCTATTTACTGTACTGTACAGTGCGCGGGGTGTGCTACGGACTGCGCCTCGCCTCTCCATTCTTACCTTAACGACTAGCGGCCATACAGCACGCAGAGCCGTATTGATGTATCGGGGTAACAGGAGGAGCCATTAAACAGCAGAGAGAAAGTATAATCGCTGAATGGGTCTCGGCGCTTAACGCGGGGCTGTGGATGCGCGGCTCCCGCTGCCCCGAGGGCGCACGCGGGCCGCGCAGTGCTTCTCGCCCCTCTACTCGGGATGCGGCTCTTTGGCCCCGTGCCCTGACCGCGCTCCGAGGGGCCGAGTCCTCCCTGGCAGCCCTCCTGGCACCAGCCCAGGGGATGCGGCGTTGGCTGAGGTGCTTATGCGGGGTTGGAATATAATGGTGTCTGCCCTGGGTGCACGGGGCAGTCTAAACTCTCCGAGCCTGTGTTTCTGTGTGATCTTTCGCTCGTGTCAGGCCAACGAGTGAAACTGAAAGCCGCTCACTGCGCTGTATTTTCAGCTTGGCGTTGCGCCGTATTTTCACCTTGACGTCGCGCTTCCCGGAGCCACGCGTCTGTGTGGGGACAGAGGTGGCTTCAGGTGGGGCTCCCGCTCCCACCACACACGCACATACCCGGCAGTCGTTCTAGGAGGGCTTGTTAAATGCAAAGCAGCAGCAAATGGGTGGCAGGCGCTTTTAACTGCAGCCTCAATGTAAATACAGGCTCCAGCTTGGCCTGGAGTCACACCACGATGGCGGGGCCATCGGCAAACCTGTTCAAAGGGACATTTGGACGGATGCAATGTGGAGTCACTCATCTCTTAGCATGGTAATGAAGGGAGGGACAGGCTCTTTGCACGGACCCGCCTCGTAGGGACTGCTGGTACAAGGTACAAAACAGAATCTATTTCTCTACACCTTTTATTATTTAAAATGTATATGGAGGGCTTACATCAAAATTACAGGCGACAATTAGTATAAATAACGCTTTAATCAACGGCAGCAAAACATTTGTAAAGTCTGTAAAACATCACACTTTAACAGAGACCAGAGTATTGCTGGGCAACGCGAGCATTTAACAAAGGCTTCGGTACACCATGTTTCATCCATGATGAAAATAAGGGGTTCCCTCTCCCGCATAAAAAGACCCTGGAAGAAGGTTAAAAATCATAAAAAATAAATCTCGGGTTCCTTCTCCACGGGAGATAATGGCCAGTGGGTGCTCCTGGTCGTTATTGCCCGCATTCCTGACCCTTCGGAGCATTGGCAGCTGGAATCCATTTATTTGCGTTGGTGCTTTCTGCCCCCAGCTCCCATATTCCCGGGGCTTACAGAGCAATGACAACTCTGTAAACTTGCGGTGCCCCGGCCTCGCTCAAAAGGACGTGCAGAGGGCTATGGGAGCCGCGCCTGCTGAAGCCAACACTCGTCCCGGAGATATTAACATTTCAAAAGGCAATGAGCCAAATTCTGCTCGCAGCTACATCCTTGTTTGACTGTAGTGGGCGGGGGAAGGAAAGCTGGGAGCAGAATTTGGCCCTTTAACTTGGGGAGCGATCTCTCACGATAAGGAGCACAAAGCGAGGTCTGCTTATCCCGGGACATTATTTTCCGGCCTGGCACCACAGAGGCCAAACTTGGTATCTCCCCCCAGAGTACCGCGGTCTCCCAGCTCCGAGCCAACTTGTCACAGACTTCGAGCGAGGGCAGCGGGGGGCCGGGAGGGGTATTTTCAAGGGGAGCAGCCAGAGAGAGGGTTGTTTATTTCTTGCTTTCTTTTCTTCTTCTTCTTCTTCTTTTTTCCTCCCCCTTTATCCTAGGTTCGCATGAAGAGAGAAGGGAGGGCTTCGGTCAGCTCCGGAGACGAAACGCAGGAATTGGATGGAACAAAACTTGAAAACTTGCCTGAGGAATTCCCTCCCCAAGCGCCGCTGCGATCTGCTCTCCATGGCAGAGAAAGGGAAGAGCAGTTTGGGTCCAAAAGGTTAAGGGTTTAGAGGTCACTCTTCCCGGCTGAAATACAACTAATCGAATAGAAAATTTGTCCTCTGGGTGAACCTGTTCCTGCAATTTAGCCGAACTTCAGTAAAATACCTTTTCAGCTTCTCAACGTGAAGGCGTCAGAAAAAAAGACGTCTTTACTATGTATGAACTCCGCGCTTTTTGTCGTAGAAACAATGATGCGAATAATGCGGGAATATCCATCTTTAATATCACGACGTGGAGATATTCAAGTATTGCCATGTGCAAGTCTGAGAACTGGGCTAACCCCGAGGAGGAACAAAGAGTTTTCTCCGGGCTCTAAAACAAAAGAGCAAGTCTTACAAGACACTGTGCGGACTACTAGGGATGAGAAAAGGGCAGAAATTAACCGCTGCCCATAGTTAATCCCGCCGAATGCCCTCGTTTTGAAAAGCTCGCCCTTTATTTTCGAATTTATTCATGCCCGTTTTTGCAGTGTTTTCCCGAGTGAGCTGGGGAAGCAGCGAGTCCTCGGTGGGAAGCACTCAGCCCAGACACGAGCACTTTAACTTACACCGATGTTTCAACCTCCCTTTACGGAAGTGCAGCTTCAGCACTTGCTCCGGCTTTCCTTCTTTTCCGTTCTCCCTTTAATAATGCGATCATCTAGTTAAAATCTCCATGCGATGGTCCCTCTCCCAGGCTGCCCTCGGGGAAGGGAGATAAGGGCTGAGCTTAGATAGCACGAGCAGGGTGTAAAGGGGCAGGTTTGGCTGGGTTGGGACTCAAAACGCAGGCTCAGCTCACTGCAACTTTGGCACGATACGAGCAGCAGCCATAGTCAAATACGTGGTTTAAGAGCAGCTCTGCTCCCGTGCAAACCTCCCCTCCTTCCCTCGATAACTTGCTGAGATTTCCAACAGTTTCAGCCATGTGTCAAGGGTTGCTTAAGAACAATCACCGCCCATGTGAAAAGAACCCGAACCAAACCTACCCAACAAACGTAACGTAGACCAAAATTTTAAAAAAAAAAAAAAAAAAAAAAAAAAAAAATCTCAATAAACAAAGCACAAAACCGAACCAGCAACCCATACAGCCCGTCCTTCTGTTGGGCAGAAAATAAATCTAAAACCAGCCAGAAATAAGGCATGTAGCTTTGAGCTCTGATCCATCCCAGAAATCACATTGATTTTTCACTCCGGGGTTTTCTTTGTGGTTTATTTTTGCCTTTTAAATGACGTATTGCTGGTTAAAAGTACAGCGCCGAGCAGGGCAGACTTTGGGAAGAGATTTCGAGCCCGTTAGTCCCGGTGGCACACGGTAAGGAGCAGGGACGCTTCTCCACAAAGGAAGAAATGCATAAAATGGGACCAGAAAGTTGTGTACGTTCAAGACAAGTAAACATCATACGTGGGCTCGTGAGACTGGGAAGTAGAGATGCTGCATTTCAGCCCTTTTTCCCATTTTTTGGTTTGACTTTTTTTCTTTTTTTCTTTTTTTTTTTTTATCTTCACTCTTCTACGTAACAAATAAATAAATACGCTAACACCATCAGGACACAAAATAACCCGTTTTCACTTAATTCCTATGCACAGCTTCTGAAAATTATGGAAATGAGCGAGTAATTTTCATCACACCAAGAAAGGTAAAGCAGCACAAAAAAAGTTCACAATCGCGAGTCTTTGTGTTCAAAAAAGGACTATGCCATAAATTTCTTGTCCTCAACTTGCCCCAAAAGCATCGCACTCGCTGCCTGGGATAAAAAGACAATTAAAAGCAAAAATTCCAGAATAAAGCATCGAACCTTCACTTTCAAATCCAATACTGAAACACGGGACAGTTTCATTTTCAATGATTTATTACTTTTTATGGACAGAAGGTCTCGTTTAATATTTTCCCAATTCCTACTGCCTGTATGATGCTTTTTTTTCTTTCTTTCTTTCTGTGCTAGCGAGAGGCAAATAAAATAAAAGTCCGAAGTAGCGTCATTTAGTCTCCTTTGTACCACAGTACCTTATGGAAAGATGGCAGTTTCTCGACTCCTTGGCTGCTACACGCAGGTTCTGCTTGGATAGTGTCACTTATGTACAGTACTGGTCAGAATCGAAGGATGAAATGGAAAATGTCACCTCTTCTATAAAGTTGTCAAGTCAGTCTGATGGTCCTTGGGAACAGTCTGTAAGTGGGGGTTAGAACCGGAGGAGGAAGACCTGCCCTTAGTGTTGGGCAGTTTGTGGTCTTTTTTCCACTTCATTCTTCTGTTCTGAAACCAGATCTTGATCTGGCGCTCAGAGAGACACAAAGTGTGCGCTATCTCGATACGGCGGCGCCGAGTCAGGTACCTGTTAAAATGAAATTCTTTTTCCAGTTCTAGGACTTGCTGCCTGGTGTAAGCTGTTCGGGAGCGCTTAGGTTCCCCTCCGCTGTAATTGGGGTTCACTGGGAAAGAAACACGGAGAACTTTACAGACCGAAGGGGGACTTTCCGCCTCGCCTTCCCACGCGGCCCCAGCGGCGCTCCGGCGGTGCCCGGCGCGGCCGTTCCGCGGGGCCGGCTGCTACCGCGGCTCCTGCGCGGAAGAGCCCCGCACGCCGACGGCCTATTTCCTCGGCAATAAAAATTTATGACGAGTGTAATTGGCCGCCTCGCCTTAAAGCCTCGCCAGGGCTCGAGCGAGCATCCCTGAGGACACACGCGGGAGCGGGGTAGAAGAGCAAAGTAAGAAGAGGATCCTTACCCGAGTTAACATGGACTTTCTTCATCCAGGGATAAACTACTGCTGGCTGCTTAACTGCTGACCCGTGGGGGGCTTTGAGGGCTGGCTGCTGGCCGCAGGCTCGGGAGTTGGACATTGGAGGCGGAGGACAATGCTCGGCTTGGCCGGGGAAGTGGCTCGGAGGGGCGGACTGCTCCTGTCCGTGACCCCGCGGCTGCACGGTGGAGCCCTGGGCACCGGCGCAGCCAAAGGGCTGCTCGCTGTAGTTTGACCGTGGGTAGAGCCCCTGGTGCTGGAAATCGGAGCCCTGCGAGGCCCCGTAATACTCGGCCCCCTGTTCGCCTAGGTAGCTGCTCTGCAAATATTCCTCGCAAGGAGGAAATTTGGGATCCACATACTTAGAGTTCACCATATACGAACTCATGGCCATTAATTTCGGAAGGTAGAAAATACTAATTTTTCTCGTGTTGTCTTTTTTTCTCCTTCCATAGAGCCCTCCTACTTGCTGTCAACTGAATAAAGTTAGGCGTGCATGTGACCGGCCCGGCCAATGGGGAGGCGGGGAGCCGATCACCGGATTTGTGTGCGCCTCAGAATTTCCACGAATTTAACTAAATAATATACGCGGAGCTGAGTGACCCCTCCGCGCCGGGGTTCGCCCTCCGGGGCCGATCCCGGAGTTTTGGGGCCATTCCCCGCGTGCGGCCGCCTCCCTGCCCCCAGGTGCGGGCAGCCTTTGTCTGAGCAGAGCCCTCATCTCCCCCCCGCTCCCCCCCCCGCCCCATCCGCCGGGCGGGATGGCCGCCGGGCTCCGGTACGAATAAAACCTCGAGAGAGATGCGGAGAGAGGAGTCGGAGCGGGACTTGAAGGGAGGGAACAGATAAGGAGGCGAAGAAAAGAAAAGACATCAAAGAAGAGGGCAATATGATGTACAATAGACCTGTCCTGTCTTTGTCTCGCAGAGGTCATCCAAAAGTTACCAGAATTTCGTTCTGCTGAATAAAATTAGGCAATCAGTAACTTCTCATTCACTTTTCGACCTCAACACATACGTGTGCACACGTGGGCACACACGCTCGCTCGCACACTCACATACAAAATCTGTGCGTGTGCGTACGAAAGCATCCAGATAACGAGAAACTGTCCACTTTCGGCCACCAAAGTTCAGCCAATTGCACTGAGACGGCTTCTAATTGGGTTACAAACATCACGGGTTTAAAGAGAGAAATTCAATCCTCGCTCATCAACATCCTTCCTGGAGCGCAAGGAAATACGTCCCAGTGAGTCGAGCGCTGCTTTCGCCGCTGTCGTAAATATTTGGGTGAGATTTGGACACACGACAGAGAAATTCTGGCAGCGCCCAGCACATCGGGCTAATTTATGGGGCTTTTGTTAAAGGTTCGCTCACTGATTGGCAGACTTTTTTTTTTCTTTTTTTCTTTCCTTTTTTTTTTTTTTTTTTTTTTTTTTTTTTTTTTTTTTTTTCCCCCGCAATATTTTTTAGATCTCCTGAGATTACTCGTTTAAATCCACAGTCTGCCAGCGGGAGGTAGGGCTGAACGACCAGGGGAATTCTCAGAGACGTTCTAAAATCTGCTTAAATGGGAGAAAGGCGGCAAAACTTTGGGGATTTCTCCGTGTTCAACACGCACACGTCTTTTGGTTCCGTCAGTGCCCAAACCCCTGGCCGTCTGCAGAAAGGTGAAGTTTTTGCATCGACCATATATTCCCCTAGAATCGAATCTGTGACTATATGAATATCACACAAATTCGGTTCTACAGGGTATATATAGACAACGTAATAACGTTCTGTTTTCACCTACCCTACAGCAGCTCCCTGCAATCCTTACTCCTTACTGTCTTCTGAGGAATGCCAACTACTCGGTGGGGACCGAGCTCACAAACACGGCTTTGTAGGAAGGTGGGAATACGGGAAGGATTCACGGCTGTTATTATTGACGAAATGAAGCTTTACGACTCTGCACCAACTGATGGTGACGAATTTCAGCTAACACATCCTCACAAGACCTGCTGACGGCTTTAGTGCTCGCCGTTTTCGACCTTGCTACAGAAAACGGACATTCCCAGTAAAAAATCGCTATTTAGAATGTTACTAGTTAAAACCTTACAGGAAATAAAGCGTACACCTATTTGTCCTGATACGAATCTGAAGGCATTTTATCTAGTCAGAATTTTCCCACTCGAGGGAAAAAAAAAAAAAAAAAAAAAAAAAAAAAAAAAAAAGGAAAA